CTGTTGCTCTCCCCATTCATTAAAGTAAATATTATTCTCATAAAGACACCTAAATTTACTGTCATTATGGATGTCAACGAGCCAAGTCGAGCAGGCTCACGAGCCAAAATTCTCGGCTCGGGTAAAAGGTAACACGTTGCTACCTTGTTTGGTAGCAGCATGCTGCCATTATTTTTTTTATTTTTTTCTTTAATATATGCTCAGTTCTTCCGAGCCAGCGAGCCAACGGGCCAGCTCAAGTTTTGCCCGATACCTAAAAAATGGGCTCGGCCCGAACTTCGGCTCAGTTCTCCCAAGCCTTGAGCCGGGTGGGCTCAAGCTTTTCCCAGCCGAGCCACGGGGTAGCCTGAGCCGACGAGCCCGATTGCCATTCCTAACTGCCATTGAGGAACTGATAGAACTTAAACAATGCTAACAAATTAAAACTGCAAAACACCATTATTTTAAATGATCCATTTTATGGCATTTTAATAGAAGTTTGCAATAATATGAATATAAAAAATGCCAAAACAGTAATAAGAAATAAAAATGAAGATAGAAATAGTGAAATACCGTTGGCCGTCTAGGTTATTGGACAAGCTGGGGGAAGGGGGATGCCGTGCTAGCAATGGTATTTCAAGTGTCTTTAATCACATAATTAACTCGTCACAATCAATTTTTCTCACCCCATCCCACCATTCAATCACAAATTGTAAGGGCAGCAATAGTTAGTCTAAAATTCACCACCATCACCTTCAGTTTCAATAGTATGTTAAAGAACCTATTTTGCAAGCGTCTGAGCGTCATAGGCATAAAAAATCTCAACACAATATAATAATTCATCATGGTAGCATCCACTAATAACAAAAAAAAAAATAATAACAATAATAATAATATTTTGTTGCCAAAAATCAATTCTCTATGTGGAGTTGAATGAATTGTTGAACAGTTGAAGAGTTCCTATGCTAATGATTGAAAGACCAGAGCAAGTAAAGAGTATATTGGTGGATTAGACATCAGTTTTTGGTGAAGGCGAAGCGGAGGCTGAGGTGGAAGAATTGGTAGATCTGAACTCATTTTTATTAAGGCAAAAAGTACTTAATTTATTCCTTTATTATTGGTTTTACTTCCCCACCCCCCCCACCCCCCCTCTAAACTCATTTTTTAATTACATATTCTACTAGTAAAGTAATTTTTGTACTAAAATTCAAAACTTTTCACTTTTTTTAATCACACATTCTCTAAAAAATCACTTCTAACAAAATATATTTTCAAAAAACGAGGGTCAAACATTAGCTTATTTAGATGAGTTTAACTAGATTTATGTTTATTTAGAAGATTAAGTCAAGATTTCTTGTTTTTCTTCAAAAGCTAGAATTAGGGTTAGATGTTACCTAGTTGTTATGATATTGGTTCTATTAAATATAGAATTATTCCAAACTTCGATCTTTTCTTGTCGTTTGTTGGAATCAATGAGACGAGCAATTTTTCTCAATTATTGATGCTTGCACTGCATCAATTGGTATCAAAGTAAGTTTTAGCATAAATCTAACTATCATCTCCATTGCATCACTGTCTCAACATTCTGTTTATCAAAAAATAATAAAAAAAAAATTTATATATATATGTTCCAAAAATATTCAAGTGCTCCATTAGGTTATGTTCCAGATCTATTCACTAGTTTCGATAAAGCAGGTAGTTTTTCAACACATTCTATGTCGGTAGACCTTTAGTATTCTCTTTAGAATGCTAAAGTATGCATCCATCTAATTGCATCAGCCTAATACAAAATGGGAGCATGTCGTAATGAATTAGAGAACTACATTAAGACCAACACCACTGAAGAATGCAAGAATGTGATATTATCCACGATAAATAAATAAATAAATTGATACTAAAATGGTATTTTTCCAAGTTACATACAATTTCGAAAATATTGTTAACAAATCTGACAGATCTAAAATATTTAAAAATTATTTTTCAAATTTTTGGAGCGTCTAAAAAATTAATTACCTTCCACTAGTTAATAATTTCCCTAAAATAAATATTCTGGATTTACTATAAGATTTTAATTAATTTAGAAAATAATTTTTACATATATATAAAATGTATTTTAAGCTTTAAATACATAAAAAAAAATTTAATCATATGAAAATAAAATATTTATATACTAAAAATCCAAAAATAATTTATGGATGAAGATATAATTTTCAAAATTGCGAAATACTCCAACGCACTGGGGAATATTCAATTTTTTTAATTTATTTATTCGGGGTGGGTTCTCGTCCGCGCCACCCCTACTCTTTCAGCTGGATCTGAGCCTCTTGTTATTGTTCGGCTTGAAACAACTGTATTTAATAGAGAGAGAGGGCTTTCCCCCACTTCACGCGTTGTTTTCTTAACCTGTTTTCATTAATATTTTTCATCTGTCCCCCTATTTTCAACATTTTATGTTCATTTGCATTATCAAATTTGAAAATTTTATACGTAACATAATGTTTGGGACAAAAACGCAACACATGGAGATTCATATCTTCTCTAATTTTCTCAAAATTTTTGAGATTCTATCTAAAATTTAAAATCTCATAACTTCTTCATTTTAAGTCCAAATTTAAAGTTCTTTAAATGGTCAAAAAGCACGTTGAAATATCTTTCTAACCATACCAATCTTTAGTAAATTTTAAAATTTTTTGCAAAATCATTTAGGATTTCAAGTTTCTCCCAAATGCAACCTCGAAAATAATTAAATTTTGTAGATGAACTCTACAGCTTATCACATACATAATTTCAAAAGTTTGTTAATTTTAAACATATATATATCAAAAGATGTAATTAAAGACCATATAAGGTTTAGAAATTTTACATACAAATTTGATAACTCGGTTGAATCATACGTACAATGATATATTTAGCCCTCGTTTGAGCCCATTTTTCCATAAAAATGCATTTTGAATAGTTTATTGATGGGAAATATGTGGTTAAAAAATAAGAAAAAGTTTTGAATTTGCATGTAATATTATTTTATGGAAAAATATATGGTTGAAATGATATCAAATCGCTGTTTAAAAATGTATTTTTTCCAAAAAAAAAAAAAAAAGCTCAAACGGGGGCTTAAGCTTGAAATAATGCAAGGAATTCAATGTTAAGGCTTTAGTACCAATGAAAGAATTTACGGTATTCTTTAATATAAATTTCGGGTCAAAATTCTTAGTTGAATAGATTGATTACAGGATCTTTTTGTGTGGATGTACCACCTTACTTTCCAAAGTTCAAAATTTGTATGTTCTTGTTCTCCAATGATCCAATCTCAATCACAATGAAAGAATATTATTATCTACAACTTAAGTACCTAATTTTGTGAATTTCTATGTCAAATATGAGGTTCTAGGCACTTTTCGATTTATGTGACTTTTCGTAGGAATTTGACATATTTTGTTGCCATCCTTTTTCACTTCTTGTCATTGATAATAATTTGAGGTTGCATGTAAGTTAAGGGAGGTTATGGAAAGTTGTAGGTTTGAATTTTAAATTCAAGCCACTCACTCTAACCATTTTGATGTCATGCGAGTTGAACCATCCCAAGTGGATGACCCACGAAAATTAAGTAGGTGTCCACTAACAATTATGTTGTGGTTCATTTAGAGTACATTTGATTGTCAATTTTTTCATGGAAAATGTAATTTTTTCACCCGAAATCCTAATTTTATATTGTTTGATTGTTATTTTTTTCCGTGAAATACATTTTCCTACTTTTAGTCACATCACCTTGTTTTCTATGGAAACGAAGAAAATATTTTCTTTATGAATGATAGGTTTTTATTTTTTAGGTAATTTATTCTCTCTTTCTCTCTTATCATCCCTTCTCTCTCTCATCTACTTACCAATTAAAAATAGACAAGTAAAATATTTTATAAATTGATAAAATCAATTAAACACATTTAATTGATAATTTTCATGCAAATAATTTCTAGGCAATTCGATTGCTTAAAATTTATTTTCTTTCCATATAAATTACATGATCGCAATCATACACACCCTTACACCATTTTGAGGATCTATGGGGAGTTAATAATTTTTTATTCTGTTCTAGTGTCAATAGTTCTGCAATTTCAAAATTGAATTAGTAATTCAAGAATTTTTTTTTCTTTTAATGGGTTATATGTAATTTTTTTTTCCCAAAATAAAACCAGAACAAACCACTTGTTCATTCTTTATTTGTATTTTATATAATCAACATTATCACATTGATTAGCACATCCACTAAATCATATTATATTGTTTCTAGAGAACTGGTGCGAGGGGATGCGATGTGCATCGATCTCACTCCCGAAACCAGGGAGACTTTTAGTGGAGCCATAGCAGCACACGAGTAGTTTCTCATCTTGTTCACCACAAAATTGATTCAAAAATCTCCTATAATAGATCGTCCTGGTCCAGATCTGGAAGTATCATACACAAATAAGTATTTTGAACTGAATAATTCTTTATTGATCAACTTATTTTAATAGTAAAATAAAAATTATTTTAAAATAAGTAGTATTGTTACTGGAAAGTAAATATAAAAATGATTCAACGATGTTTTCGAAATAAAAAAGGGTTTAAGAAATGTGGACCCAACATAAAGTTACTTGATTGTATATAAATAAATAGCACAATGTTATAATACAATAATTGGGTGTCCTATTCACATCACTAAACAGGCATAAATAGTTAAAATCTACAGTAAAAAGCCCTGTCTACGTATACAACACACAATTAGATAATTAAAAGTGATTCCATAATCAATAGCTGTGATGAAATAATGTTATTTAACCCCACTGAGATTGCAACCACAGCCTAAATAGTGTTGATGCGATATTAAATGATAAGTGAAATCAAATAAGTCATTTAATTTCACATTTCATTCAACCTATCATCTAGCGGCATCTAGATCGAAGTTATAACCCCAGTGTTACGTTACATTATTCAAATTGATATGTTAAATCATGTTACAAGTATAGAATCTTTTGAGAGAAAATCCGTGCAAACAAAACATCGCATGGCATTATTGGAAAATGGCCCCAAAAAACAAAAGTCCAATCACATTTTGACATGTCAGCATCTATATACATTCTATTAAAATTTTCTGGACTTGAAGTTTTATTCTTGATACGTTTTGAGGCCTGAAGCGGGCCATACGTAACTGTGTGGGGTTACCATACTAGGGATTCTCCATCCACCTTTACACCCCTACGGTTACAAGAACCCAAAACTAAAGAAACGTAGAGCTTACCTCCTAGTTATTCAACCTTGTTAACTGAACGTCTATAAAAATAAATATCTAATTAGCCAGTCATCTCTTGATTGAAAGAATGAAACTGATAACTCATTGGCAGAAACATCTTGTTTACTTCTTCATCCATGGGCCAAAGGAAGTTTGGACAATAATCCCATATTGGAGATGCCATTGTTTGACTTGGAAAATTGTAATTTTCGTCAGAAAATTCAACGTCTTTCCATATTTCTTCCATGGAGTAGAATTTTGTGTTTTCTTCTTTCTCTTGAACATTCTTGGATTCAATACGCCGTGAGATAGGTCGATCCGTTTCTGAGGTCGATGATAGAGCTTTGAAATTTTTTTCTGTACTTGCTACCACATTAAGACCTCCGGTGTCATAAAAACTGGGCTCTTTGATCTCTGTGATTATGGTACATGATGAAGAAGATTTTGATGAGGACGATGATGATGATGGAGATACAGCTGATTTCTGCCTCTCTTGAGCACTTTTCCTCATATAGGTTCTCCAGTAATTCTTGATCTCATTATCAGTTCTTCCAGGTAATTTCTGAGCAATTTTTGACCATCTGTGTGTAGTTATCTCCATATATTAGAGCTACGTGATTCAAAATATGAACAAGAATAGAATTCAAATTTTTATATATTATGACGTGATAATTTCATTCATCAAGTTCACGTTAAAGTAGAACCAGCAGCAAGCTTATACTCTGTTAAAGATAGAAATATTTTATAGAATATTGTCCATTATATTTCCTTTTAGTGTAAGATTATTTTTGTTTTACATTTATTTCTTTTTATTGTTATTCATAATCCTATAAATAAGTTTCTCTTCTTTGTACTATTTACAAGACCATTAATAGTACAAATTTACAATATTCTTGACATGGTAACAGAGTAGGTTTAACTTGATTTTGGGTTAAACTTACAAGCTTCCATTTTCCGGCAAGCGGTCTCATGTCACTTGTCCGTTCAAATATTTTTCTTTTTTTTTTTTTCCTTGCTAGCGGCCGGTCAAATATTTTTTGTTTTTTGTCTTGCTCCCGTCCGATTTTCTCATCAAAATTTCCACAAAATTAAGTGTCCCCAGACTTCCAAAATTTCATTCAAGATTAAGGGAGCAGAGCTATGTGTGGGAATTTAATTTCCAGGAATTTAACCATAATTTTGCATACTTGGGAATCTCCCCCCCGCCCCTTTAAAAAAAAAAAAAAAAAATCCAGGGTTTTCTCATGTTAAAAACAAAAAAAATTGGAGAGACGGTACCTTGAATTTTGCCGTCACTCCCCCTACCTCTTAAACAAACTAGAGCATTTTTATGTTGAATTTTTTTTTTTTTTTTTTGAAGGGTTGCTATCGTGAACTTTATAGGCTCTTCCCCCATCCCTTGAAAAATTCTAGGGTTTTCTAATTAAAAAAAATAAAATTGAAGGGTCGATACCTAGAACTTTATCGGCTCTCCCCCTGCCTCTTGAAAAAATAAAAATAAAATAAAATAAAAAACAGAGGCTTATTTTTATTTTTTTGGAAGGTCGGTACCTTGACCTTTACCGACTTTTCCCATATTTTTCTATTACTTTAGCGACTTAAAATGTTTTTAATAAACATAAAACATTCAAAAAAAAAAAAAGAGTCCAACAAATATTTTCTTCTAGTCAAACAAGAAGCCACTTATCTCCATCAACAATAACAAAGACCTCAAGTGCTTGGAGTTCATTCTACATCAATTTGAAAGATTTGATTGGATCGAGTTCTTCAAACTCAATATTCCATATCATATTGAGTTTGAGGGGAGGGTGTTAAAGATAGAAATATTTTATAGAATATTTTCCATTATACTTCCTTTTAGTGTAAGATTATTTTCTTTTTACATTTATTTCCTTTTATTGTTATTCATAACCCTATAAATAAGGTTCTTTTCTTTGTAATATTTACAAGTCTATTAATAATACAATTTACATTATTCTTCTCCCCCACCCCACCGCAACCCCACAGAAGAGAGAGAGAGAGAGAGAGAGATGGGCATATTAACCTATTTCCCCATTTAGAATGAAGTTGAACAACAAGGCGCTGTTCGTGGGGTGTCATCTTGCCTCTTTTCAGAGCAGGATTTAGATAATTAACCCAACGCAGCCTGCAACTCTTCCCTGTTCTTTTCAAACCTACAAGAAAAAATCAATATATACATGGAATATTGTGTTAAACTACAGGGTTCCTTGAAAATTGGAACAATTGCCCAGATAAATCCTACCTAGTACTTTTGTCTCCCGCCAACCTTCAAACCTGATACTTTTGCTATGAAATCCCATCGTCTTTCACCAAACAAGTTCACGTATAAAGCCAGCTGATAATCTTCTTCTTCTGTCCATGGCCCTTTTCTCATCACTTCTTCCTTCTGCACCATTTTCTCTCTCTCTCTCTCTCTCTTTGTCACTTCTTTGCTTTCACCTATACTTACAAAGGGTATATATATAGTAGTGACCGGCTTGGCATTACTAGGTGACGATTTCTTGCTTGGATCCTAACCCTACATGTGGCTTGATGACAATTTGATGATAAGAAAATATGGCTATATATAGATGATGCAAGCCCATTACAAAGTGCTTTAGATAAGTGGTTGATATGTTGGTGCAACTTTCATAACTGACCGTTCATTTAGCAATGTTGCTTTACAGTGGTTTATTGGCGGTGTGATTTCCACTCAATTTATAATAATAATTAAAAAAAAAAGAAAAAAAAGAATATTTTAAATCTTGCCAACACACATGTAAATGGTTAATAGTCGAGCTTTCGCTTTGGATTTAGTGTTGAAACGAAGAACTTGATCCACGAAGACATAGTCTTCAATGCCTTTGAAGAATTGGAAATTTTACTCAATTAACAATTAGAATAGACTCGTTTGTTTGAACTTCAGGAGGTGTGCATAAAGTTATGATTAGTGGTGCGAATCGACTAGCTTAGCTGCAGAGAAGCCTAAAATGGACGGTCGCTCCAAATTTTATGACAAGTCTCTCTGAGTACAGCATGTCAAAGTTTGCATAGATGGTAAATATTAAGGTAGAACAATTAGTGGTGCCAATCTACAGAAGCCCAAAATGGATGGTCGCTCCAAATTTTGTGACAAGTCTCTTTGAGTATGGCATGTTGGAGTTTGCACAGACAATAAATATTAAAGGGTTGTTTGATATGCATTTTTATGTAAAAATGCATTTTAGAATAGTAAATTGATGTGAAATGTGTGGTTGAAAAATAAGAAAAAAATTTTGATTTACGTGTAATATTATTTTAATAAAGAATATGTGATTGAAAAGAAGAGAAAAAATATATTTTGAAAAAAATGGCTACCAAACGGGACCTAAATTAGAAGTTCTATAATTTGAAGAGATGTAAGATTCATTAGTTGGAACTCAAAAAATAATAATAATAAATAAATAAATAAGCGAGTTCCATAAAAACATTTCAAAGCAAAAAAACTCAAAGCATCAATAACCCTAAAAAAATAATAAAATAATAAAAATAAAAATAAAATAAAATAAAAATAAATATCCTTCTTGTGTCATTAACATGAGTTTTGTTTATAGCTGATTTCCCCTTAATTGTTATTTATTAAAAATATTTTAGTGTTAGAGGTTTTATTATTGACAATTTTAATTAAAAAAAGAGGTGAAGTGATGTATAATTATTTTTAAATTAAGACTTTTGGAAATGCATTTTTTTAAATTTCTTTGAAATAATTTTGCGTTTTCATTAATATTCTTGGAAATTTATCATTTTCTTAAAATTTTTTGATACTTAAAACTAGGTTGGTGGTCTTCGATAGATATACAATATCTTTGAGAACACGAGAGAGGGCTATTGTTTTGAAATAATAGAAAGGTCATTGTTCTGAAATCAACAAGATAACTTGCAAAATAAAATAAAACAAAAAAATACAAAAACACCAAGATTTTATGTGAAAATCCAAGAGGGGAAAAAATCGTCGAGCAGATGAGGAGTTTTTCACTATAATCAATAATGAATGTTGTTAATACGAGATCTCAATTTCTCAATCAAGACCTAAAGCACTCTCAAAGCTATATCAATATTGTGTTGCTTCCACAGGTAGTGGGTGTTGTATTAAAAACATAGAAATAGAGTTATAGATGACACAAATCGTTAAAAACGCGTTAAAATGTGAAACGGGCTTGAGTCGAACAATACCGTCATTCGAAAGCCAAGCTAGCACCAAGCGGGCACTAGCTCCTTACTTCGCATGCTCGACTGAGAGATGGGCATTCAACTAATCTCCTTAGTCCATATTTTGAACTCTTCAAGACCCCTTAAATGGAATCACCAACTCCTAATAGAATTTGGTCACACTTCAACAATTCTCCACCTTGAATCAAATTTTAATACAAGGAATCACAACTCACTTTTCAATCAACTCATCAAACAACTTCTCCACCTCTTCCACAGAAGTCCCTATAGGCTAATGCAATGATAAATAACAAGAAGTTTAAGCAATATTCAAACTCAACAATAGGAAGTGCTTTTGTAATCTTATAAACGGGATTCTCCTTGGCATCAACCTTGCTCACTACAATATCACCACGAGCAATTATATCACGCACAAAATAATACCTCACACACCAATGTACTTTGTTCTCTCGTGAAACTTCTGATCATTTAACCAAAAACTAACAATCTAACTATCATAATAAACTGTAGAAATCAGCAAATCTTCATTAATTTCACCAATCAAACCTCTCAACCACATAGCCTCCTACATACCTTTGTAATAGCTATGTACTCTATCTCTGTTGTAGACAATGCTATTGTATTCTGTAAAATAGCATTCCAACTAATAGCTTAGCCTCCAACGGTAAACACATACCTTATGAATAATCTCCTCTTATCAGAATCTTGTGCATAATTTGAATCTTCATACCTAATGACTCTATCTACATCTTACCGAAATGCAAATAAGCATTAGCAGAGGTCCTCAAGTATCTGAATATCCATTGTACTACTTTTTAAAGTTTTTTACCAAGATTTGTCATGTATCTGCTAAATGCACTGATTGCACATACCAATTCTAGCCATGTACAAACCATAGCATACATAAACGATCCCACTGCAGTTGAATAAGGAATCCGAGATATAAAATCAATATCTTCATCTAACTATCGACACAAGTCAGATGAAAATTTAAAGTGTACAGCCAAATAAGTCTTGATAGCTTTTGCATTCAGCATATTGAACCTATAAAGTACCTTTTCAATGTAATCCTTCCGACTCAAGTACAATCTGTCAGTTTTCCTATCTTTCAAGATCTCCATATCAAGAATCTTCCTTACTGCACCCAAATATTACATCTAAAACTCTTCACTGAGCTGAGCTTTCATCCTTTTGTCTTCTACTTTATCTTTGGCTGCTATCAGCATATAATCAACAGAGAGTAATAGATATATAACTGACCATCAACATACTTTATAAAGTACATATAACTATCATTCAAATAAAGTTATGAGTAGTCATGAACAAATTAAAGCTCTTGTACCACTATATCAATCTATACAAAACTTCTTTAACAAGCACACATAGTTCTTTTTTCTAGTAACTATGAATCCTTGTGGTTATTGCATATAATTGTTTGACTCAACTCTTAACTAGACTAATCTGAAACCACTTATTTCTCTTTTGGACTAATTTCTAACTCCACTTCATATTTTGATTTTGTTGCTCAGTTTTACCTGAAGCTCCAAGAGGTAATTTATGAACCATTGCAAGTTTATCAAACATTACATCTCTACTAACCACCACCATCCCTATTTCTGGACATTAGAACTTATATTCCATTTCACTTGATGTATACCTAAGAATGATGCACTTTCTAGATCTTGGCTCAATTTTCCTATTATTCACATGAGCATTAGCGGTGCATCCAAATAAATTAGAATAACTAGAAGGATTATCAAACCTAGGGATGGCAACGAGTCGAGCTGAAAATCAAGGCTCGGCTCGAGCTTTTTGAAGACGGGCTTTTTTTGGCCTGAGCCGAGCCGAGCCGAGCCGAGCCGAGCAAAAGCTTGACCAAAAAATCGAGGCTCAGCCTTACCAAGCCAAAACGGGCCGAGCCGAGCCAACTCGTTTTTTCCCAGCTTTTTTTTTTAAAGGCAGCTGGTAGCTGCATTTATTTAAAGGCAACTACCAGCTTCCTTTATTTAAGGTAGCCAGCCTGCTGCCTTTAAACAAAGGCAGCAGCTTGTTGCCTTTTAACAATTTTTTTTTGCCAGTCGGCTTGCGCTCGTCCCGAGCTTAGGCTCAGTTTGACTGAATCTCGAGTCGAGCCGAGCCGGCTCGAGCCCTCAAGCCTTTTTTCCATTCCTAATCAAACCATACCTTTTTAGGTGTCTTTTTCTCAACAGCAATTGAGAATGAGTGATTAATGAAAATTAAGCTGTAATAGGAGCTTCAGCCCAAAAAATCTTAAACAATCCAGCATTTGAGAGTTATGATTAACCTTTTCCTTCAATGTTCTATTCATCCATTTTGCCGCACTATTTTGCTGTGGAGTTCCAGATACTACCAAGTGCGTGAAGATCCCTCTTGTCTTGTGGAAACTGTTGAACTAACTCACAATCTATGCTTAGACATTTTACCTGCTTCCAAGTTTGCTTCTCAATCATTGTTTTACGCTCTTTGAAGGTGGTGAACGCATCACTCTTCTATTTCAAAAAGAATACCCAAGTCTTTATGGAGAAATTAGTAATCACGTTCAACAAGTAATAAACACCTCCTTTAGAAGCACCCTCGTTGGTGCTTAAAGATGTAAATTGATATACTCAAGTATTCCCTTCGTGTTGTGTCTCCCTTCAGTGACTCTGACCCCTTTTCTATCCCTAAAACAATTCACTTAGAACTTCAACTTACTAATCTGCTACCCATCAATAAGTCCTCTCTAGCTCAATTCTACCATACATCCTCACGTATATGCCCAAGTCGCATATGCAAAAGTTTTATTACTTCTTCATCTGCCAAGGAAAATGTAATAACTACTGCATCCTCGTGACTGTGAAACCCTACAAAATGTATAACTGTAGGAAGCTTTTATGTACTTTTATGACAATAAGAGCACAGTTGCTCACCTTCAAAACTCCACATTCACCAGTATATCTATAACATTTGAATCAGGAGTACTCAAAAATATAAGATTCCCTTTCCAATATGGAATGTACCTTAAATCAGTAAGTGTTCTAATAGCTCTATCAAACATTCTGATCCTGACTATACCAATCCCTGTTATTTTACAAGGCGTGTTATTTTCCATAATCACAGTACCTTTCGAAACCTTTCATACGTTGAAAACAACCCCTATTAGGACACATGAAACGTACAAGTCAAGTGAAGAATTTAATCCTCACAAGGTTTGAATCCCCATCAAAAATCACAAGAAATTTTCCTTTA